TTCATTGCTGATGTGGTGCATGCCACCTGTCTTCATCACTAATGTGTCATTGGCCACGCTGTCTACATTGGGTGACTGGACGCGACAAGGAGGGAGATCGGGATCTGTGGATGATTGAGGAGGATCGGGATGCTTACCTGTGTGCGCTGCTTGTCTTCAACGTCTTCATGAGAGAACTGTATCATGTGGCACTTCGATGTGATCAGGATTTGTCAGGCTCGTTACTGGATACTGATTTGCTGACTTGGAGGCGAGCAAAAGTCCGAAGGAGTGGTGAATGTTGGGCTACTCTCTGTGTGGTCATTGATGATTACTCTTCAGCCTTTTAATTTTTCTATGTCCCCCTCCGCTCTCTTTGTCTACTAGAAACGAGACATTGTATCAGAGATCACGTTCATGATTATTGGGGACATTGTTCAGAGTTGAGTTACCTTGTATTTCGACATCTGGCGAGTATCTTACAAACTGGGTTCATTACATCTCTCCCTTTTCACCTTTACTCCTCTTAATACTATTAAATCAATTTAAATGCAACAACAAATGAATAACTAGACAGAAATCATGTCCCAGTGTTCCCCCCTACTGTCAGCAACTCATGAGACCACTTTCCATCCCTAACCTCACTTCTCTCCTCTTCGTCGCCGAACATCCATGCTCGCAACGGGCATTCAAAGGACAATGCAAACACTACTGTGCTCGTCCCATCGCCTCCCTCCATAGCCACACTCTCAAAAGATGTCCAAGGCCAATCGGGACCCACACTAGCACCTTCTTGATGCAGCGCCAACCAAGGAAATGAAGATGACGGTCAACCATAGCCAAGTTGAGTCCCTCTATGTCGGTTCCTCTCACTCTCCCTCGTCCTTACTCCCTTCTACTGCCCCTCTCCATCCTTTGGCATGAGGTGCCTCACCTTCTGCCACCATAGCCAGGATTGAATCCCTACCAGTCCTCCATAGTCAAGCAGGTCTTCTTTTGTCCACCTAACTTCCCCCTCTGAGCAGAGCGACAGCACAACTGCTGGCCAGTGCTGGATAAAATACCACTTCACTCATTGCAGCCAACTGATATACTCTTGCAACGCGGACTCCCAGATTCACTTAGGTTGCAGTACTGCTCCTACCTTTACCTCTCCAGGGCACTAGGCCTACTGCGAGTTCCTGCCTTTTGGCGGTAACCTCATTGCTGCCCGCAAGTCTAGCTCAGGGCCTGAATCTGACCTACCTGATATCTAGGTCGCCCTGACTACTCATGATCTTTTGGAAAGGTACCAGGTCCTTCTAGGCCTACAGGACTACAGCTGGGCCTACCTGAGTTGCTGGAAAATCCTTGTCAGGTACTACACAAATTCTCCTTGTGTCCCTGTCAGTCCTAGCCTTTCTAGTAGTGTGGCCGGTCCCAAGGTTTCCCTGCAGTTTTCCATTTCTATCTACCCCTCCCCGAAACACAAAAGACACAGAGCAAACACACAGTCTGTACTCCGCATCGCAATCATCACACAGGGCCTCACACACAGGCAAGTACTCAGCAGAGTCAGACAGCACACAGAAATCTCAGCGAGTTAGTCCAGCAAGCAGCAATACTCAGCCAACAGGAGAAATCTCAGACTGATTCTGGGTGGGTCATTGCAATTCAGAAAAACAAAATCATGCTTTCAGTATTTTACATGGTTAACCTTGCTAACCATTTGTGTCGAGGTGGAGTTAGATGAGGGCCGGGGTGAGGGGGAAGGGAGGGGAGAGGAAGGGAGGAGAGGGGAAGGGGAGCAAAGAGGGAGAGAGAGGATAAGAAGTGCACCCAACAGAAACATGACAAGTAGACAAGTACATGCAAGGTGAGAGAAGCTCACATTGAAATGGTCGACGATGTTTTGAAGTTCCTCCTTCCGCTCTGCGATTTTCTTCCCTGCACAGTAAGATCCACAAGTTCATCCCTCAGGTCACACACACACACACACACACGTCATAACCACACAGGTGAAGTCTCTGGCAAGAAAACAAGCAGAGAGATTAAAAGACTGATTATAGTGAATGCGTGTACCAAAGAAGAGTTATCATGACAGTTACCTGCAGTCCTACCTGACTGCCCTTTTGCATCTTTATCTGCAATTTTGACATGAACTTATGAAGGACGAGATAAAAGAAGAAGGGGGAAAATTCAAACAATGAGGAGGTTCTTCCTTTATGAAACAGTTTTCACCTTTGGCAGTAGCCGATGCAGATCCCAGGGGTCGATCCCTTGACCTCAGCTTACCTGTGTACAGTATCTGTACAGTTCCCTGGAGTTGAACCCGTGACCTGCACGATAGCCAGTGGTAAGTAGGTCACCGTAGGTTGTAGGCTGTAGGAAGATTCGAACTGTAGACCTGTAGGGTAGGAGTCCAAGTAGAGTCCAGAAGCCCA